TTTTTTTGCAGTACTGGGGCTTGAACCCAGGGCCTTCACCTTGACTTCAACAGTACTTTTTGTGTGTATGTGTGTGAAGGGTTTTTTGAGATAGGGTCTTGTGAACTATTTGCCTGGTCTGGCTTCGATCCATAATCCTCCTGATCTCTGCCTCCTGAGTAGCTAGGATTACAGGCATGAGCCACCTGTACCCAGCAGGGATGCATTATTTAAAAGGTTTGAAGATAACTGTTCTAGCTAATGATCTTGTCTTTTGTAAGTCCCAGGCCCCAGGCATAAACTCAAAGATAAAAGTAAAATCAGTACTTTTTCCAATAGTGAAAAAAGTTAGCAACCCAGAGGTCTTGCCATACAAATGACTTTGTCCTGTTCAGGAGGGTGGGTGAAATGGAGAGGATGAAAATGGTGGATGCACTTAATACAACTGTATAAAAATAGAAGCCTGTTAAAATTGTTTTAAGAAAGCAGGGGAGGGGAGATGAGGAGGAATGATGGAGGGGGTGAATATGTGTATCATAATGAACCCTTCCTACAACTAATACATGCAAACAAATAGTAATGAAACAAAACGAAAAACCAACTTCACTCCTCTGAAACTCCAGAGTGTTTGAGAGACAGGAAATGCCTCAGTCAGCCAGGGGCACTAACCATTTAAGGCAATCTTAATTACTAGTTTATCTGTGACCTAAAAGTTTACAGTTTCTTATTACCCTCACGGGGGAGTCTGCATGCTAAAAAGACACCATGCCCATTAAAACTTAATAGGAAAGGCAAGGGAAATTCATGGAATAGAGACCATGTCATTTGTTCAGTACTAAATCCTGCCTCTGTGAAGATCAGCTCATTTCACTTTCCATCAATGATTAAGCCTTTAAAAATACAAAGCCTTGAAAAATACAAAAACTAAAAAAACAAAAAACCACAAAAGCCACATTAAAGGAACAGGACTACTTTTTGAAGGAAACTCAGGCACATAAGCACTTAAACCTATTTCAATGTCAAGGCATGACATCTAGGAATTACTTTTACATTGACAGAGACATCTTTCATGAGAACTATCGTCTTTAGGACTTTACCCAAGAATACTGCAGCTTAAGTACAGACAAGACAGGTTAGTGGCACATCTTGAGGACTCTATGTGCATGGTGGTTCTGTTTTTCAAACTTTTCTACACCCACGAGCCAAAAATAAATTTAAAAAAAAAAATCCAAACTACACACATATACAGGGTAACTGAGAAGAGCCAGAGTTGCAGGTATCATGCAAGTATACATGGCAGCGTACCTGGGATGCTCTCTAACTTCCTCCTGAGCTCTTCATTTTCTTGTTGCAGTGAAATGACCTCCTGCTCCAGCTCTTGGCAGCGAGGACAGTAGCCTTCCTCTTCCTCCTCTTCCTCCTCCTCCTCTGGCAGTGTAGAAGAGGATGGATGGCCATGGGATTCAGACGTTGCTGGGGAGGCCCAGCCACCTAGCGTGTGCACAGGGGAGGTTGAAAGAGGATCCACGTCTGCCAGATGGCTATACTCACTGACCGATGAGACGTTTGGAGTCGGGAAGCTCCCCGAGAGCAGGTAATTTTGGAGAGAGTCAGTGAAAACTCTCAAAAAGGCAGAAGTTTGTTGTTTCCTTTGCATATATTGCATCTCTATGTCAACACTGTCTGAGGTCTGACTGTGGACCCCTTTCCCAATGTGACATGGTTCCTGTCTTTCGTTGTAACTAGAGCCTTCCTGCTTTACGCAAGAAATCATGGATTGAGAATGGTTGGAGTCCAGAAGTTTCCCTCCACAATTTAAGAGACTAAGGACGCGACTGCACTGCTGGGCAAAGGCATCCAAGATCATACGACTCTCTGAAATGAAATAAAAAGACCCTATCAGTGACTGACAGCAAAAGTCTTCATTTTTGAGTTTAACATTCAAACACATTAAAAGTATGTATTTCTATCCTCTGTCATAAACCAAGGCAATAGTGAATCCACAATTAGGAGGACTGTAACTGGTGAGATGCCTGTTGAGTCACCCCCAACCCATTCCCCTAAGGAACAGCTGGACTGTGACTCTGGGCAGCATAGAGATTTCCCTCTCTGCAGCATTAACTGACTGCACAGGTCTGAACTCACACCTTCGGCTTCATTAATATCCTTACACTAATGAATCGAGCCAGCCACTGCAGACTCAATTCCTCACTGATAGGAGGGCTTACAGCAATCATTACTTCTATTTCTGGAGTGCCCCCATGCCCTTGCTATTAATCAGCTGATACAATCCCTGCCAGGAGTATGTAGCTCCAGATGCAAACTGGAAGAGGTAAGTCTTTCTGAAGAACTCACTAGAAATCTCAGGTAAAACAAAAGAGTGGGTTCTACTGGCAAAGGACAAGCACAAAACAAAACTGTGTGTCGTCCAACATCTGTGTTCACTATGCTCCCTTTTAATTTACCTAATTTGGATTTCTTGCCAAGACCAAGTTTTAGGCTGACCTAGCTCAGTATCATTTGAAAATCAGTAGTGCCTCTTCTCACTGTCAAATCTCCTAAAATGGCACAAGGCATGGGTGCCAGGTAGCCCACACAAGTCACCTCTAATACATATTAACTGTCAAGCAGTGAAAAGCAAAAAGCAAAGAGAAACCCATCAACCCACTGCAAAAAATAAAGGAAAATCCCTCCCAAACTGAGGAAATGTTACTTAACGTCCCCAGTCCACAGTTCTTGAAAACCTACCCTGAATGTCAATGTCATATATAGCTTGCTCTCACTGAGCCTGAGCTACTGTCGGTAACCCAGGGTTACTTTCCAGAGCTTACACAGGCTTATGAGGGGGCTTCTTATTTCCTCTTCCGCTTACCAGAAAAACACTAGAGATTGAATGTAGATGCTACTAAATCTTGCGGATGATAGAAATTAACTACTTATCACTGTAAATGTTAACTGGTCTTATTTTTCTAGAATTAAAAAACCTTCTGAAGTAAAAACATTACATGCTCAAAGACTTCTAAGAGGTGAGAACAGATGCCCTTTAGAGGGCTGGAGGAATGGCTCAAGTGGTAGAGTGCCTGGTTTGCAAGCATGAAACTCTGAGTTCAAACCCCAGTCACACCTTATTTAAAAAAAAAGGAAACCCTCTAGAAAATCTAGGGCATGTAGGACATGCAACCAATGAAATTATACTTCAAGTGGTCTCTGTGTTAACCAGAAACTGTAGTTTGACATATAGTCCCATTACTTGGGAGGCTGAGGCAGGAGGATCACTTGAACCCAGGAGATGGAGACCAGTCTGGGCAATATAACAAGCTCCCATCTGAAAAAAAAAA